AACTCCCGAAAATCCAGAACAAACGTGATGTGCAGTGAATCTGTGCTCCAGTGCCCTACATTAATACTAATAATAATTTTTCATAGGTGCAGGTTGGTAGACAGCAACCACCAGGGAGGTACTACCGTCTGCCAAGTGTGTGTATAAACGAAAGCCTGTAATAGTATATATGATGGTAGGATTGTGGTGTCTTTTTTTCTGTCTCATAAAACATGCAAGATTTACAGGTACATATTGTACCTTCTACTTGCACTTAGGTCATTACTACCCATACATGTACAAGCATATATATATACACACCTTGGGTTTTTTCTTCTTTTCTTTCTAGTTCTTATTTCTTGTTTATTTCTCTTATTCCATGGGGACGTGGAACAGATAATTCTTCCTTCGTAAGCCATGCGTGTTGTAAGAGGCACCTAAACTGCCAGGAGCAAGGGGCTAGTAACTCTTCTCCTGTATATATTACTAAATGTAAAAGGAGAAACTTTCGTTTTCTTCCTTTTGGGCCTCCCACCTCGGTGGGTAGGCAGTGTGTGAAAGAAGATTAATATTCTTATGTATTTTATAATTTACAATAATACGTATGTACTAATCTTAATAATACATATAATTATTAAAACTATATATATATACTGTATGTTTTCATTTACTTTACCTTAAAATATCTTGTAGTCGTAAATGTAGAGTGAGCGTGCGTAACAAGATTAAAATGAAATAAATGAGATGAGAGACGTGAGTGTAGAAGGTTTCATGCGTTTTGTAAACAAAACTAGTTGTTGTTGTTAACGCCGGACACGAATGGTTTTTGTTCATTCTTCAAGCCGACTGGAAAAACATCTCATTTTTATGATAATTTATCTGTTACATAGCATGTCTTATTCTATATTTTGAAAAAAAAAACATAGATGGCTTCAGCAAAACTGTCTATTTTAATTGTTTATTACATTAATGGCACCTCAGATGAATATTATGTGTTATTATTATCACTATTAATATGTATTTCAAGACCAATAACACACTCTTAATGATTTTAAAGTGTACCTGCACCACCAGCACAGGTGCAAGATGTGGTGTTTAAAATAGTTAAGTTCATATTTTATTCCTTTCTAGAGTGGATATCAGGTTTTTATGTTCTAATTAGATGAATTGTGAATGACAATAAAGCTATGAATGTAGCAATGTTAGCATCATCTTGAAGATGTGACAAACTCTGCTTTGGTGTGTATTCCTGTTGGTCATGAGCGGTCTGAGCCAGCAGCGACAAGCAGACAGAAAGACAGAACACAGGTAGACAGAAAGACAGACACCAGAATAGACAAAAGACAGACACAAGGTCGAACAGAAGGACAGACACACAGTAGACAGAAAGACAGACACACACGGAGGACAAAAGACAAGGACAGAGACAGTACAGACAGACCGTCTACAGGCAGGACAGATACAGACAGACAGATATTACAGGCAGACAGATACAGACAGATTTATGTGTAACAGTGAAAACAAATAGAGAGAGTAGAGCGTAAGAGCCATTCTTGCCAACAATCTCCAGTGCAAAATTCAGACTTCCTCTAGGGACATTGGTGATATTTGCTGTCAGTTAGTACAGTAATCAGTATGTATGATGTGCTGATAGGGCAGTGTAACTCACGCTGATGATGCCTGCATGGCACATTCCTGCCACGGTATCATCCAAATATTGTACAGTGGCAGTCTCAGGCCGGCCCAGTCCAGCTGCCAGATGTACGGTCGTAAGTCGAGTGGGGTATGTCGAGAGGTCATAACGTCGGCTGGTAGATGTATCATTTAGCTTGTATATTTCAGATGAAATATAGCAAAGTATCCCCCCCCCTTACAAAGTCAGTGATAATGGCATCTGGCAAGTGATTATATTATGCAAGATATTAAATTTTTATCATACATCAGTGTTGGCCCACAATGGCTGCACTAATTATAGTTGTGTCTGTGCTGTCTTTTTTGAAAATTTGTGCAGAAAAGAATCGGTTTTTATTTCATCTCTTTCAACAAACGGCCATATCCACTTGGCAGGGTGGCCAAAAAGAAAAAGAAAGTCTCTCTTTTTAAATTTAGTCATTTATACAGGGATAAGGGGGTAGTAGCCCCTTGTGTACCTGCATTTTAGTCACCTCTTATGACATGCATGACTGCCAGAGGAAGAATTCTGTTCCACTTCCCATGGAACTGAAATTTGTCCTCATTGATCTCATTGGTTGTCAATGACCATTGAAAGACTTTGTTTATGTCAATTGCAAGTTTGCTGAGTGCTCCAGTGGATTCCATTCTCGTCAACCCTTTCAGGGTTTTTGACGTATAGTACTCTTACGCGCCGCGTTATCGACTACTAGTATGCCTCAATTCTAGCACCCTCAAATCAAGCAGGAAAAGGCTGGTAGGCTTAGATGTGAAGAATGGGTCTCTGTGGTCAGTGTGCGCAGTTACAAAACAATCGGGGACCCAGTGGTTCAAAGTGGGAAAGCCATTTTATTACACATTGTTCACCATGTTCTTGCGCTTCGAAATCCTCACTCCTCGGTAATTGGGGCTCTTTTGTACCCAAACCTGAAAACCCATTCTCTTTGCTGATGACACGACTGATGTATTCCCACCCTAATCTTGCCACCCTCAACTCCATTGTTAATGAGGAGCTGCTCACAATATCGACTTGGTGACAGCCAATAAACTTCCACTTAACACTGGCAAAGCCTTACTATATATGTTGGTAGCAGGGCAGGTGTTGCACAACCTTAACATTAAGATTGACACACTCCATTTACCAGACATAATGAGGGCAAATCCTTTGCCTATACTCGAGAACAACCTAAATTTCAGCACCATATCCAACACACAACAAAAAAAGGTATCCAAAACGGTGGGGATTCCTCTCAGATACAATACTACGTGCCGGCAAAACTGCCCTTTTCCTCCACAAACCCACCAACTTATACCATTCACTTATATATCCATACCTCACCTATGCTGTCTGTGCTTGGGGTTCAATGCAGCAACACATCAAAAGCCAATAATAAACCAACAAAAAGCCGCAGTAAAATTAATCACTAAATGCCATCCTGGCAACACACCTCCCCACTCTTCATGATCTAATTACTCCCTGTTCAGATCATCACCCTTAACTACTGTGCAATCTAACATCTACAGGACCTTAATTCCAATACCTTAACCTTGAACTAAAATGCTTTCTTGCTAGTTAGTGACAGGATCCACAGGCATAACACAGGACACAAACATCTCTCTGACATTCCCGTGTTCGACTAAAACCTTTACAAAAATTCAATGTCTTTCAAAGGACCTAAAATCTGGAACACCTAACCTGAAAACTCTAGACTGCAGACAATTCATCACTTTAAAAAACTTACAGTTAGAAAACATATATCTCCCGATCCACCCAGACAACTCACTACATGATAACCCCGGGTGGTTCAAAATTTACACTCACTCACCCACTGACTATAAACCAAAAACCAGAATTAATAATCTTAATCTTAAAATAATTAAATCCTAATAGTCATAAGTTTGCTATGATACTTCAAACTGACACCTTGTATTGTGCGAAACAAACGCATTCACATTGCAAATTCACAAATTATGATGTGTCACTTAGCCTTAATCCCATAATCTGTAAGGATTTAATGTTAAGAATTAAATTAAGTCCGCTCGAAATGCCTGCCCTGCTAGGTGTTAGTGCCCCTCTGTCATTAGTTATTTTACTAACATTAAACCACAAACTACCCAAAAGTACCTGTAAAACCCCCACATAGGGGCACCATTATAGAGCATAAAATACGGAATTGATTGAATTGAATTGCCGTTCACAGGACAGTGGAAGTGTAAAATGAAGAAGAATTTCCTGGTTATGAGGCGTTTGTGCCCAAAGCAATGCAGGAACAGAAGGAAGGCAGGAAGAAGGAAGGAAGGGGCAGGAAGGAAGGGAAGGAAGGAAGAAGGAAGGTGCAGGGAGAAAGGAGGAAAGGACGGACGAGATGAGAAGAAGAAGGAACGAGATGAGAGGAAGGGAAGGAGGACCATCACCCTAGGAAAACCCACCCAAATAGCCTGATTATTTCCAGTGGGTTTGTGGGTGGGGGGGGGGACGGGGGGTTTGGTTTTTTGACAGGAGTGAGGGTGGAGAGTGCTCGTGTGATTTGTCCTTGTGACACTAATTTGCCCGTGCCTCAGCATATTTACAAGTTCCACCCCCACACAAAACTCCAAGTAACAGACAGCTGATAGCCGATATACCTCCCTCCCCCCCCACCACCCACACCAACCCCCCCCATACCCCCCCCCCCCCCCTTGGAAGTGTCCAGTGATTTATGTGTTGTATATATATTCGAAAAAATAGTAATAAAACCTTTTTTTTATTGTTGGTTTTGTGTAAAATGTTTTGTAAACCATCTAATGACAAGCCATAGTTTGTATGATATTGTTTAGTCTACTCAATGGTGTAATATACAAATAGTCTTTCTTATTGTCTCAAAGCCCATAAATTACTTGAAAACAACTTCAAAAATTACAAAAATAAAAGAAAAAAAGTAGAAAACACAAATAAACTCTTACCTGATGACCAGCAGTCGGCGATGTTGCTGTCAATGGTTCAATTTTTGTCAACATCACGCCTCCATATCTCAGTAAGTATTTTTCACAAAAAAAAATTTTTGGCCTATAATACTCACAAAAAACTATCATTTCATAAGAAAAAGTAATTTTTTTTTTTCGAATATTTTTATTTTTATCGATCTTGTGAATGGGAGTTAAGAATGCGGGGTCTCGACCCTGAAAGGGTTAATGTACAGGTGATTGTAAGTTTGTTTAATCTTCAGAATATAGTAATCTAAATGTACTGCTCCATAACCTGTCAATTTAGAGTAAGAATTAGGATTAGTCTGCTCGAAATGCCTAGGCATGCTAGTGGCCTTCTTTGTAATTAATATTTTATGATATGTAAACCACATTTTCATTTGCAGCCTGCCTGAGGCTACATGCCTTCAGGCGGTCGTCTACACACAGATCGTTGATGGTTTTACAGTGAAGGTCACCAAGGTTCAAGTGATCAGTGCTTTTCTCCCCATCATGCCTCGTGGTCTCCAAAGCAAGTACCAGGTCAGTTGATTAATTATCATATCTTCCCCAGTAGGTTGTGCATATAATCCTGGTTGTTTACATGACAGTCTAACAACCTATGGAATACATCCATCTTTTTCTCTTTTTTCTTCTTTTATGCTTTAAGTTTTATAGATATCACCTGGGTACTGTATCTATCACTAGCAATATATAAAGTATATCAGTTTAGTGTTAGGTAACACTACAGTATATTACCTGAGTCTGGTATTTTATTACAGTATGTACAGCAGGGCCCCACTTATACGGCAGGTTAGGTTCCAGGCTACCCCCCAAAAAGCAGAAAGCCAAAAGTGGAACACCCTTTTTTTTCCATTATAAATGCATCAAACACTAGTAAACCTTTTAACTAACATATATTAATTTAGAAATGAACCGGGCATAAAAAAAACAATAAAAAATTTAAAATACCACATATGCACTCTTTTACTTCCCTTAAAATATTTTAAGTTTTTAAATCTGGGTGAGAAAAGTGTACTTATTGTAAGAAATCAAGTGTGGTAGTAGGAAATAGCCAGGCTACCTTACAGGCCCCCCCACCCACCTACTATTCATATATTTAAGCATCCCAGAGCGATAAAATGAAATTTTACAGTTCATCATTATCCCTTTAAAAATATAATTTCAGAGAAAATATTAAAATATGAAATAATTTTAAAAACATTTAAAATTTTTGGGGTTTCCAGACAAAGGAGAGACTTAGTGCTTAGAGCCAGGAGAATGTAAACAAACGGGGTGGGGCACGGTGCCCGAAAATAGAAAGTCGGTGGGGGGAGCCTATAGGAGTTTTGGTCATAATTTGAAATGTCCGTATTACGGAAGCCGTAAAGTAAACGCCGTAAAGCGGGGCCTTCCCGTATATTTTTAACCCTTTTGCTTTTTTGGTCGTTATATAGTTTTACGAGCCACAGGTTGCATATATGTACAAAAAATTTGCGGCCTCAAATCAAGGAGAAAACTGGTAGGCCACATGTGAGAGAATGGCTTTTTGGGTCGGTTCACCATATAAAAAAAATCCTGCAGCAGCAGTGAAATAAAAAAAAAAAATCCGGCATTTTTTTAAATTTAAAAAACACCGATTTTGGGTGCATTTTAATTGTTTTTGGGGTCTTTTCTCTTTTTTGGTTCATTTGATAAAAAAGGGAAAAAGATTTTATAAAAAAAGAGGTATTTTGTTTGGGTTTTTATAAAAAGAACTGAAAGGGAAACTAAAAGTGGGGAAAAATGTTTGTTTTTTTGCCGATGTTCAAAAGTAGAAAGTGATGCAGCCAAAAAAATGTCCACTCACCATTCAGAATGCAGTCATAAATGGGTTGACATTATTTATAAAATTATTACAATATTGCAGTAGTCTGCATAGCAGTAAATTACTTTTTGTTTGAATAAAAATTCAAAATAGGAGAAAAGAAATATCAGAGGGGCCTGGAGATGACTGAGAACAAAAAAAAATTTATTTTAGAGCCAAAAAATGTTGCATTGTTCATTCTGGACCCTTTTTTTTAAAATTTGGTATTTTTTAATTTGCATGAAATTGGCCAATTGAAAGTTTCGACCCGTTATTGGGTATAAAATCGGAAAAAGGGAGCAAAAATAGGGCTCAAAGTGGGCGAAATCGTGGTTCGAAATATCCGAGGTCGCTAATTCAGGAAAAACGAAATTTCTGTAATTTTCCCCATTAAATTTCGTTTTTTGGTGTCATTACTTTTGGGAAAAAAGATTCTTATCTTTTCAAAAAGATTTTTTTTTTTTTTTTTTTCAAATTTTTTTTAAATCAGGGACACTTCAGGTTTGGGGGTTTTCGACAGTTAAGGGTTAAAAAAAACAGACTGTACCCCACCAGGGTGTGACTAAAAAGAAAAAAAAAAAAACTTTTTTTTTTAAATTTAGAATGTATGCAGGAAAGGGGTTGCTACCCCCCTTACTCCGGCAGTTTAGTCCCCTCCCTGCATGCATAGTTAGGGAGGAAGAATTTGTTCCCATCCCCTGGAGATAAGGGAAAAATAAACAAAAAAGAACTTGTAAGAAATAAAAAAAAAACCCCTGAGGGTGTTTGTATAATATCATTCCCACATGTGTGTGTGCCCAAAGTAAAGTAAAAGATATACGGTATCCAGTGTTTATGAGACAGAAAAAAAAAGAACCAGCAGTCCTACCCCATGTAAAAAAATTATGGGTTTCTGTTCGCCTCGCTTTAGGCGGAATCCCCGGGGGGTTGCTGTCTCCGACCTACTACCCCCAATTACAGTTATGACTTAAAAAAAAAAAAATATTTTTTTTCTAAAACGGAAAGGGCCCCAGCTTTACAGCGTTCTTCTTTGCAGTGTATCGCTTTGTGGCGCGGTTTTCAGTTACGGGGGGCCCTCCATTTACGGGGCACCAGTGTGCGCCCCATTTAAAATGCGGGCCTGTCGGGGCCTCGGGTGCCAAATTTGAATTAATGAAATAGTACATTGATCACCATCTGGGCGCTAAGGTAATGCATAATCTTGGTCTTCATTTAAACCCCTTTCACTGCGAGACCCGTCACGAACTTGTTTCCTCTGTCAAAAAAATTTTAAAAAAAAAAAAATTGTTCTATCTAAGGGAATGACGGTAATGATACCAAAAAAAATTTGAGGGGAAAAACTAGGGAACTGCGCTCTTGCGAAGTTAGGGGTCTCGGCAATATTTACACATCTTAATTTGCCCACTTTGGCCCCTATTTTGCTCCATTTCTTTGTTTCGTCAACTATTTTATAGCTTTTTTGCTATCATCCTTTTGTTCTTTGATTGGACAAAAAAACCCCATTTCCCTATTAAAAACTCCCAAAAAAATGATAAAAAATTGGTAATTGGCCTTTTTCATAAAAAACTCAAAAAAAGGGCCAATTTAAAAAATAGGGTCCATATAAACAAGCAAACTTTCCTAAACTAAAATAAATTTTCCTGTTTTAGTCATGTTTCCAGGCCCTTCTTGCTTTTTTTTTGAATTTTTATTCCACAACACTTAGAAGATTTAGTATGCAGAGACTGCTTTACGTAAAAATTATAAAAAGACATCGGGCCATTGTGAAAGCTAGTAGACCCACCAGATGTTTTTGTATTTGTTGCATGTGATTTTTTTATTTTGAAAATTTTCAAAAAAAACATTCCCTACTGTAGCCAATTCAAGCACTTTTATTTGGGAAACTGTTCAAAACACTTCTATTTCTGTAAGTTCTTCCTTCTTCAAAATGAACCAAGAAAAACCCAGAAAACAACCATAAATACATACAAAAATACACCCCAAATCACTGTTTTAAACCAAATATGGTATGTTTTTTTTTCTTTTTAGCCCGCGTGCGCAGGATTTTCTTTTATTCGTCACCTACCCCTCAGTCCATTCTCTCAAATGTAGGCCACCCCTTTCCCGCAAGATTTGGGAAACCCCTAGAATTTTGGGTTTAAAAACGGACGACACGGCTTCCGACCAAATTTGGGGCCAACTAAAAGGGGTTTAAGGGGTAAAAACTTAGAAAGCTAGCATAAAAAAAAAGACACAAAAAAAAATAAAAACAAAAACATAAAAACTTTTTTAAAAAATTGTGCCAGTTGCCCCTTTCCTTTTTTCAAATGTTTACAAAAAAAAAAATTGGAAAGACGAACAAATAAAAATGGGTTAATTGAAAACCAAAAACATTGGAACACCCAAAAAAAAGAGGGGGCCCCCCCTTATACCCATTACCACTTATACATGCTGGTTTTGCATTCCCGGGATTTTTTCAGGTTAGCTCAACAGTTGATCATTTGGGACTTTTTATCGTCTGTCTAAATCCGTTTTGTTTTCCAGTTTTTTGGATTCGTCTGAAACTTTCCAAAATTTTAAAAGTTTTTAAAGGTTTTAATATCCAGTGGAACCATTTCAAAATTTTTAAATTTTTCAGATTTAATTCGCAACCAAAAAGAAAACCCAAAGCATTTTTCCCATAAAGAATAATGTAAATAGAAATTATCCCTTCCCGACCCCAAATGACAATATAATATATTAAAAAAGCCTAACCCCCCATAAAAAAATTTTAAAAAAGTAAAAAAGCTATGGAAACTGTAAAAAAAGAAAACTAAAGAAAATTTAAAAGAAAAATTGTAAAACATGAAAATTAAATGCCCCCACCGTAAGGAGATAAAAACTCAACGTGCTTTTACAACCCTTTTTTTTTTTGCTTTCTCTCTTTATCCTTTTTTGGCCCCTGATGGTTATCTCCCATAAAAAATTGCATTGGGTTTTAACCCCTAAAAAAACCAAATGTTATTAACATACAGTAGGGCCCCATTATACGGCCCAAAAGCGGGGCCCTTTTTTTCCCCTTAAAAAAGCATGTAATGCCAGACAAAAGTTTCATTGTATATTAAAATTTGCAAAAGAAACCCCTTTCACGTCGAGACCCCTGATTTCAAACTGTCCAGTGTCGAAAAAAATTCAAAAAAAAAAAAAAAACTTTTCAAATCTTAAGAATTTTTTTGTTTTAAAAGATTTTTTTTTTTCTGCATCAACTTACCCCTTTTATTCTTTGTTTTTCTTTAATTTTTTTAAAAATTTTATTTTTAAAAGTAATTTTGGGCCCTTTTAGACAAATATAATGCATAATGTACATGTATATCATTTTTTGCAACATAATAACCTCACAGTGTTATCATTATATTTTTTACAAAACTTTTACACAAACCTGTGCCCTTTTTCCCCCCACCTGTCTTTTCCCCCCACCCCCCGCCTTCCCCACCCCACTGTCTCCCCCTCACCCTATGCCTTCCCCATCCCCCCTACTCCCCCCCCACACCCACACTGCTTCCCCACCCCCCCGCTGCCTTCCCCCCCCACCACATCCCCCCCCCCACCTGCCCCCCCCCACCACCCCCACCATCTTTCCCCCCCCCCACACCCCCCTTTCCCCCCCACCCTGCTGGAA